AATGTTCAGTGAACTTTAACCCCATTTATGACAATTGATCTCAGCAAAGTGTGATTTTTCAGCTATGGCCGAGAAGAAAAGGAAAATCATACAAAAAAAAACAAATGAAAAACAGGAAATGATAGTAGCTGTCTCTAGTTTGATACTAAATGCAGAGAAATTGTGGTAAACAAGCTCACCTATCCAACAGTAATTATAATTACTAGCTGGACCTGTGAAAAAAATTCATAGTTAATTTAAATATCATCCAGTGAATATTTATCAGTTAATCAAAATTGTTTAATTTGAACTATTTTGGTTAATAAAAAATTATATTATCCTTTATTTCATATTTAATAATATAAGTTTATTTTTAAGTTACTGTGTAAAAGTATATATGAAATACATCTGTTACAGCACTTCCCTATATTCAATGTTTCTAGTGATGGTGATTCCCCTTGGTTTTGTTTTAAGGTATCACTTTAACTCTCATACTGTTCATCATCATGGTTCTTGAAAAATGCTACGTAGAGCTAGCCATGAATGAAGCATGGCTGTGGCAAGTTTATGCCAGCTATCAACTGTTTTCCCCTGTACTTTATTGATTGTCATAGAATAGGACAGACAAACTGGGAACTGGGTTTGATGTAGAATGAATGGAATGTTTGCATCACTTGGTTTAAGTTTGATTCTTGGAATCAGATCCACTTATAATTGACATTTCAATACTATGCTTGTGAAGCTGAAGTACCTCCAAGAGTGTTCCTTTGTATAGATCTTGTGTTATAGAGAGGTTTCTAAGAAGCATAATAATTACTCCAACTTTTAAGTTAAGTTGATGGGGAGGCATTCCAGAAGGTGTAAGAGTGTTTATAAACTCCATAGGATAATTCTGAGCTGCTTCTTCAGTATCAGAAGTTACAGAATTGGTGCTTAGTTGCGACTTAATTTCAGGGGGTTAATCTACTTAGAATTTCTTCATTTACTACTAAGCAGACCAAACTTTTAGGGGATAATATATATATATATATACACACACAAACACACAAGTATAGGATTGATGTATACAGAATAAATTCCAATAACCAAAAAATACTATTCTTAAAAGAGTGCTCAATACAGTAATGGTGTTGAATGTAGATCTACATCTTCAACACCATCACTTGATAAGACACCAGAAATGTTGAAACAAAATGGCTATTTTTGTAGTGATTTTATAACATATTTATGTTATATTTTTGAATAAATTTTATATATATATATATATATATATATATATATATATATATATATATATATATATAGCATTCTGCTACTACTTTGTTTTGACATCAATTTTTGTACAAACTAAACACCAAAGTGGATCAAGAGCCTTGAATAATTCTCCAATTTCTGATTGGCTAAAATATATGAAAAAACACTACAAGGCCTATGTACAAGTGTTCAGAGTCAATTTACCACCAAAATCTGGTTATGTGTTCTCAAGCTGGTCACATCACATATAACATTATAAATACTTGGACACATCTTCAACTCTTCCTCTCTTGCCTTCTCTCACATACAATGTGTAACTGTGAAGAAGTCGCGTTTGTCCCCTTAGGGAAAATGCTATGAAACCTCATGACACACAACATATATATATATATATATATATATATATATATATATATATATATATAGGGGGGAGAGAGAGTCTGCACTTGCCATGTCCCCAGTTCATTTCGCCAGGGTCTGACTGATTAAAAAAAAAAAAAAAAAAAAAAATCGGCTCAATCCGTTTGCTAGTTTGGACATAAAATGAAAATTAAACTAACTTTTTCATCCTTACTATTCATTAATTTACATAAGTAAATCAATGGCAGAACACATGTGTACAGAAATAAAGATGCCTATAAATTGATAAGTAACCAACGGATATGGATTTTATATCAATTATAAATACTAATGGGGCCCATCTGACAGAATCGTAGCTTTAATTGTTAATTAAAATGTTAATGTAACACCTTAATTGTACATGAAACGAACTGATCTCACCAGTTTGTTTACATTAGATTAGGCAAAATATTTTAAAAGATTAGAAAACACAATTCTGTAAATAAGATTTCTTCTTATAAAATTGATTTTATTGAACTTTATGGACATCAAACTGAAATATTTCAAAATTCTTTCAGTAGGTCCATTACAAATGGATTGTAACAACTGTTTTGTTGACCGGGTGTAGTAAGTTCCCCCCAAAAACACGTTTATATTAGATTTTTATTTAAAAAACACAAGTGATTCATTTCTGCACTTGCCATGCCCCCAGTTCAATTCGCCAGAGTCTGATTGATTAAATGTAAGAAAAAAATTTAATAAATGGCTCAATCTGTTACTTCTTCAGGAATAGAATGCAACTTTAAAATAGCTTTAGCTCCATTTTTTGCTATATTATTATGAAAGAAAATGTGACGGACATGTACAGATGGTAGGGAGGTACAAGAGTATTAACATATAGATTAAAAAAGAAAATATAAATTTATAACATTTTTATGAATTTAAATTACATGATATATTCATTTTTTTTTATCTAATGCTAATTTAACCACATGAATGTAAATGCAATTGTAAAATATTTTTTGACTTATGGATAATGTTGAACCTACACTTTTGGGGCCTTGAAGCTTGAACAGATGTGTGAACTTCTTTGCACCAGCAAGAATAGATTTGAGGATCCAACTGCCAAAATATAGGCTATGAATGGATTCTGGTAAGCTCAATGAGCCAATAGCAGTGTTCAGGTACTGTAAGCTACCAAGAAAATTTTGAAATTTGATCATTTACAGAGGAATTTTGAGGTCTTATGAAATGTGTTAGAGCATATTCTAAGGTCAACATTAGCAACTTCAAGCAATTGCCTTATGATTCTGTTACTAAATTAGACTTATTTTAATAACAAACACTTAAAAAAACCGATTTTGTTGAAAAATTTGCTCATTAAAAAAAGTTTCTGCAGATGTTCCACTGGCATTAGGGTCCCTGAAGTTTAAGCTTCATAGATCTGCTATTGCTTATGGATGGCATCATAATTCAAAAAAATCACTAATAACCTTAATAAAACTATTTCTACTCTTAAAGGTATCGACAGGAAGTGTATATTAAAATTGTGCAATAATAATATGAGACAATTTGCACAAATTGTCTAATTGCCATTGTTATTAAATATTAAATTATACTGTTACCTATTTCGTCAAATCCAGATTTCAGATTTCCTTCAGAAAGTACATACAGATAATCCACAAATAAAATATTCTCAATAAATCAAATTCAAATAATTGTCATCAATAATATCAGATTAATTACATTAAAAACAAAATCTAAATCATTTAAACGCTTAATAACATGCATTTTAACCAAGGGAGGCAATTTGTGAGTTTAAAAATTTTACAATTATTATTTTAACAATTTAAAACAAGTCTGGACACAAAAATAATTCAAGAAAAAATCTATCTCCTGAAAATTATTTTTTTAACAATACATTGTTAGCAACAATGAAAATTTGTTTTTAATAAAAACCATACTAACAATTTAGTTGAGATAATCTAGACTATAAATGTCTATATTCATTATGAATGATACAAGTGGCACAATACTTTTAGTTCAGACTTCTGTATTGAATAAAAGTAATGTTTATTTGTTAAACATGTAAGATTATGTTTTTACTTAGAAGTAAACTGCACACAGCTTAGCAAATTAACTATCTAATAAAAATATAAAATGAAAAAAAAAAAAAAAAACAAAAGGTAGGGTGATTGTTTTACATTATTATTTTGTGGATAAACTTTTTTTTCAGTCTGAAATGTTCTCAATCCCACACACTTTCCAAAATGTGACTAAATGACAAAGTATTAGAAATTTGGGGGAAGGGTATCATGGTTGGGCCAAGAACTGTGTGTGTGTGTGTGTGTGTGTGTGTGTGTGTGAGTGTGAGAGAGAGAGAGAGATTGTTGGCTTTAACTATTTTTAAAAATCATTATTGGAATGACAAAACTTCAGAATATTTATATTTATATATATATATATATATATATATATATATATATATATATATATATTATTAAATGGACAAAGTCCGACAATTATTTTAAGACATTTTTATGTTTATACATTCTTTTATACAAATATTTAAGTAAATGCTCTGTTTTATAATAAACAGTATTAAACAACATTTACCGCCCTGAATGTTCAAGAAATTTTCATAGAAAATTTTTGCCCTCTGATAAATGTTGTTTAAAACCAAAGATGAACTGAAGGCAAGGATTATAGTAGCATTTACCAACTTAAACAAGGAGATTGTCCAGAAGAGACATGGGAGATTTTGAAGTTATATGGAGGTCATGGTTATAAATTTATTTTTGTGTAATTTTGGTAAATAAATCTGTTAAAATGAGATGTCAGTGTTATTTTCATTTTTGCATAATTTAGATGACAATTTATCCATCGCACCCTGTAGCATGTTATTTCTTTCCCAACACTTAATATACTTTGAATAACAGGCAATGAGTATAAACTATTCATTACAATAGAATGAGTGCTTTTTAATTTTTAAGTGTAATATTATATAAATATTGAATAAACTTAATTTCAAGCAGAAACATTGAAAAGTTTTTCATAAAACTCATGATAAAGCATACGTCAGCAAAATTTATAAAAGGGATATCACCACAACAATAAGTGATGATATCATCATAACACATAGGTAGCATAAAAAAAGAAATGGTAATAATCCTTAGTAAAGAGGATTTTGAACAAAAAAATAAAATGTACTAAAATAATTTGAAAAGTTAAAACTAAATCTGAGTTTTTGTATTAATGCAAAATTTTGCATAAAGTCTTTTAATGACTTTTTTACTAAATGAAAAAACTGAGTTGATATCAAAATTATTTTCATTCTTTAAAATAGAATATTTTATTTCTGTTTTCTGCTAGAGAAGCAGACAATGAAAACATTGTAGATTTATGAGTGAAGGTAAATAAAAGCTTACCAAAAGAGAAACCTGCTTGTTTAGGCAGAGATGCAGAGTCTGATTCTGTTTCAGTTCCTGTGTTCTCCAACTCTGATTCTGAGCTAGCAATGTTTTGTTCACTCACAGATCCTGGGAATGATTCTGGTGCACTTACTCTTCTCACACATTCTGAATAAGGTCGTTTCAGTGCAGAGTCACAACGGTGGATTTCAACAGGTAAGATTGATGCATAATGTTTGTAAATCAAAGGCTCAAGGCGATAAGCCTAGGAAAACAAAGAGAATTTTAAAAGCTTATGTATTTAATCAAATATTAAAAGAAAAAAAAAAAAAAGCTAAAAGCAAAATGTAGTCAAGAAAGAAACTGTCTATATCTCTGAGATGAGGTATTATGATTATTTACATTATTTGAACTTTTATCCTCATTTTCATTGCCATATTCACAACATTTCGGCTGTTGTACACTCCGGCTTTCTTCAGGTGATTGGAATTTCAAACCAAAAACTTTATTTCATCCACTGGGGTAGATTGTTTCAGTTATTTCCCTTTAACTCAACTCTCCAAGTTTTTTTGGTTCACCACTGATGTGGCTTGGTATTGAACTAACAACTCTTTGGGTCTCCCCAAGGACACATAGCCCAGCGGATAAAGACGTTAGTTAGCTCCAGTGACTAGACCCAAAGAATACCAGGCCACAGCAGTGGTGAACCAAAAACTTGGAGAGTTGAATTAAAGGGAAATAACAGACATCTGGAAGAGGCATGGCACATGGAACTAGAACAATCTACCCCGGGGGATGAAATAAATGGTTCAGTTTGAAATTCCAATCACCTGAAGAAGGCTGGAGTGTACAACAGCCTAAATGTTGTGAATATGGCAATGAAGAGGAGGATAACAGTCTGAATAATGTAAATAATGTAAACCAGAAAGAAACCTTCAGGCAAATGGCAACAGCCTAAATAAATACCAAAATGAATTCAATGAACCAAAATTGCTTTATTCATTGATTTTTTGAGAAGTCGGCTTAATGGATAACAGTGTGGAAAATGAAATTAGTAAGCTGTGTTCAAGTTCCATCAAAGACAGTTTTGATTCACTTTGTACTAAAAAACTAGGGAAAGGAAAGAATTAATTTCTTCTCATAATAGTAGCTTGTTAGGCAACCAGTCTTGGAGAACAACTCTGATTTCAAACCAGGATTGAACCCCTATGAGTTAATTGGAAGTTAGTTTTGACTTCTTGCTGGTGACTGTTGTAGCCAAGTTGATGTCAATACAAATCTGTTCTGTAATGAACAGCTAACGGGACTCTAGTGAAGTTTCAACGGGCTATGCACATTGGAAATAGATAAAATAAATTGCTCAAGTAAAAAACACAAAAAGGAGAAGTGTCTCTTGATACCTTAAAATACAAATGGATGAAAAGAAAATATTGTCTCCCTAAAATGTTGCTGATTAATGGAAAAGAAAGTACTTTTTTGTTTGTTTTGACAGAAAAATATTGCTATCACAAGGATTGACAGAGATGAATATAAGATGATTATAAATTAGATTTTTTACAATTTGTAAACTTTTTGCAAGAGGTCAGCATTTTTATGACTATGATCAATAACCATCCCAATTATTGTTAGTTTCTGTGAGCTTTTAGTGGGAAGCCAATTTGACAGATTGAATGTGGATTCTTATGTATCCAAATAGTCCAGAATTATCCACCCAAGTTAAATAAAATATTTAATCATAACAGTTATTTAAAGAAGAAAGACATTTCTGAATTACTTCCAGTAGTGCGTCACTTATCAAGAATATCAACTGAAAGCAAATTTCCATTTGGTTGATAAGTAAGTGAATCATTTGGATAAAATTAAAATTTACAAGAGGAAAAAAGAAAGGAAAAATTTCTTCCCTCCCCACTAAATGTACAGAGATTAGGACTATTTCTGGATAGTATTTTGCATGACTATTTTCATATGTAACTAAGTAGAAACTGAAAATTCTGCTTACAATTGGGTCAGCAGGATGGTAGATATTAAACAATCTTCTACAAAATTCAGGTGGAATGATGTTTGGCTGTCCACTGCTATCACAACCATGAAGTGGGACACCACGTAAGGCAAGAAAAACAGCCAAAGGGGAACCTAAGCAGAAAAGATTTTCCACCTGGAAAATAAAATAACTTTTTTTTAAATTGCTATCTTTATATGAAAGTACAGATGCAAATGAAAAAACATAATAGAAACAGCTCAAAAAGTAGTGAAATTAAATTTGCATTATAAAATTCTTGAGAGATCATTATATTACAAAATCTAATAAAAAAGAGAAGTCACTTAAAAAAGGCAAGTCAAGTTTATTTGATAAGACAGTTTCAAACAGAAGAGCAAGATTCAAAGAGGAAGCATGATTCTCATTTATAAACATTACAAGAAAATTTGGAAAAAGTTGTTATTCTTTATCAAGAGATGTGATCTTTTATTTAACAAATTCTGAAAGCATTGTCAACACAAGCAACAAAATGAAGATTTTTGGAATTCTTAGAATTGTCACAAGACAGTTGGCCATTGAAAAATGAATTATTGACTTGAAAATGGGATCCTTTCTTTTCTAAATTTCCATCAAAATTATACTTTTTTTTTTTACAATTCTCCCTTTTGTCATGAGACAATAAAAGTACCTTGAATTTAAGAGACTGTGATCCTTTTTGTTGTTGTTCTTGGAGTGTGGTTAATTGGGATTCAATTTCTGATACTCTAAATTAAGAAAAATATTTAGAATTAGAAAGTTTTCATGTAATGAAAGATGACAACACTTAATTGCCAGTATTTATGATTGAAAAAACAATATTTTTATGATGAGAGATAAAGAATTATTTCCTATTATTTCTTATGAAAAACAAAACAGCTTATAAAATAAAAATACTGTTTATACAAGTGTCTTCAGATATGAAGTCAAACTATGCAGTAATTTTTACTTCCTTAATACAGGCCACAAATAGCACTTTATTATTATGAATTTGTTATTCTAATCATGGCACAATTTTATATAAAATAAAAAACTGAATCACATTTGTAAAACTAACAAAAAAAAAAAAAAACAGGTATAAATTGTTTAAATAAACCCAAGTACAAAAGAACATTTTTGACTGCCTAAAATTGAGGCTATTTTGATTTTTGTATTAAAAACATTGAAATTTGCAAAAGAAGATATGAACATAAAAATGAAGGAGAAAGATTTTTTTTTTAGAAATAAAATTATTTAATTCTTTGGTACTTAATTCATGCAAATACACACATTTCTACATACAGAAACAAAAATCAAAACATATGAACTGAAAATGATTCATTTTATGATTCATGTTAATATAAAATATTCAAATACATTCATTTTAAGATAATCTAGAAATGTAAAGGTTTAAAGTAAATTCTTGATATTCACCGAACTCGGGCCTCATCAAGGTCCGAGAGGAGATGAGAACTTCCTTTGATTTGTTCCCGTTTTTCATCCTAAAGTTAAAAAAAGAAATTAATCATAACGTAAATAAAATCCTCCCCAGTTCCACTTCTAAACTGTAATAACAATGAAACATAAAAGAAAATCATTATCTTTGGGTTAAATATGTAATTGATATCGTTATATGATATAATTTGTTTAAGTGTATTTGCTTCTTGGATCCCAGATAAATAATAAATTATATATCGAGTCATTGAAGAGATTTATAACCAAGGATCTTTGCAGCAACTAAAAATAATTATTTACTGACAGTATGGTAAATAAAAGGTTAATATTCAATTGATCTTTACAATAAAAGATTATTTTTTTTACATTAGAAAGGAGTTGTAAGCAAGGAGAGATAATATCAATAGATTGAGATTTTTCCGAATAGGAATGTATTAAGAATGGTATAGGTTATTAATAAAATATTTGTTGCTCACCAAAATCAGATAAGAGTCAGATACAATAAATATGCTGACTAAAATTATTCTATAAAATATTAAATTTTCCATCTAACTTGGAAAATAAAAATAACTTTAGATTTTGTGCCCTATGCAATTAAAATGATTTGTGAAAGAAAAAAAAAAGTTAAGTTGCATTTTAGGCAAGACTTAAAAAATAAAAAAAAATCATGATTTAAGTTTAATATGATGTATTTAAAAGACAGGAATGTTTGTGAGGTAAAAAGACAAGTGAAAAAAATTAGATTGAAGGGAAAGAGATTTTATAATAATAAAGATATTTTATAATTCTAAAACGAAATAAACAGATTTCTGTTTGTGGTTTTGTTACTCTGTTAACAGGAAAAGTGCGATATTATAGGGAGGTTTTCTTTTTTTAGGAAAATAATATTAAAATATTCTAATTTGAAGAATAAAGCAATTTCTAGTTCATTTAGTTTGAATGTTGGATCAACTTTCAAATCCCAATAAGGATTGGATTTTTGAATGCTTGTTTGTCACAAGAGACGTTAAGAAAATTATGTTTTGACCTTAAAAGAGAAAAGAAGACATGAATTGCTCTAAGAAATAGTATTGTTTCTTTTCAAATTAGAAATAGAGTTTTATTAAATATGAATCATTATTACATGATTACAAAATGCAAACATTTTTTCACTTCTTTTTCCTCGTACACATTTCCACATTTTATTACAAAAACAATTTTTCTAAGTTGTAAACATGTCTCAAAATCATTTAACACAAGACTCTTTATTAGGTAATAATAGGAATAAAAGTAAAGATAACTTTAAAATTTAAATGTAGTTGAAATATGCTTACAACCTAAGCACCAGTCTGCTACAAAAAGTGAAATTCTCAAGTGAACTCAAAATTTTCTGAATTGAAGTTTTAAAAAATGGTTCTGTTCTTTTAATTTGCTAATTTTTACCAAATTTTGGGGGAGTAAAAAATCTGTACATCCTCTTGCATTTTCCTGGTTGTTATTAAAAACTATTGTGATGGACATTTATATTAAAATGCCAAAGTATGTACATGTTTTCACATATCAGATCCAAACAAAGTCACAGAAAGCCAGTTTTTTGCCTGGATAAGCATAAAAATCTCAAACATCATTAAAGAGCAGAGCACATCGTTTCTAGCTAAATGGAGTGAGATATTGAGTCTTCTCTCTTATACATAAAGTACAGTGTATGAATTTGTGCGTGTGTCCAACCAACTCCTCCACTCCCACTGGTCCAATTTCAATGATTTATAGTTCATTCAAAAGCCCTAGAAAAATTAGGTGCAGGGAATGATTTTTCGTTGAGCTCAGATTTAGGGTTGCTAGATTATGTGATCTTAAAAATATATATTAATATATTATACGAGCCATTATCATTGCTTTCATGGTTCAAGAAGAGTAACTCTTATTTTCCTTTTGTATCCAAAATTGCAGCTAGCTTAAAAGCTATTGGGTGGCATTTAAGCTAGCTCCTGTGGAGAACTCTTGGTTTGGCCATCACAATAACTAGGGAGGAGTAGATAAGATAAAATTAATATAGTGTACAAATGGGAAAATAGAAATTAGAATTAGTTATACATTCGACATTTGAAGAGTTAGAGAAACATAATAGCTAATTAAGTAAAACCTATATCATGGAATCTATATGAATAAATGTGAAATTGGAGCTCAATTCTCCCATGAATTCTGAGATTAAAAAGCCCCAGCTCTATTTTAGAGTAGGTATTTATTTGACCCCCACAGAGTCAAGTTGTGACACAATGTCAGTTTAATGTGAAGAACCTGAGCACATACACTCAGGCTAAGGACAAAAATTCCTTGAGCCCATGCAACTGTTGGTTGTGAAGGCCTCAGTGTGAGCACCAATCCCTGTCTCTAGTGCAATGAGAAGGTGCTGCCTCAGGCATCTACTCCCTAGGGCTGGGCACCTCACAGTGTGATGTCCCTGTTGTGCCTATGTACTCTGACGGAGCCACAACTGAGTCACTCTCTGCCTGAAGGCAGAGACGCAACTGAGAGATGATAAATAAACGTGTTACAAACTAATTTGTAATTTACTCCCCTGCCCGTGAGGTCAGGTTGTGACACAAGGCTGGTTTAATGTAGGAAGTCCAAATGCATACACCTGTGCTAGGAACAAAAATTGCCCAAACTCCCACAACCGTCAGTTGCACTGGACTTGGTGTGAGCACTGATCGCTCTCTCTAGTGCAATGAGAGGGTGCAGCCTCAAGCAGATGTTCCCCCAGGGCTGGGCACCTCTCAGTATAATTTTCCTCAGTTGTGACTGTCTTTTTATTCAAGGATTGTTTTGATTTTCATATCAAAAATAGTTCTGTTTAGGAATATCATCTTATATAGTGCAGAAAAGTGTTTGAAATTTACATTTTACTTGACCTTCAACAAGTTGGCATCTATTTGTAAAACTATCCTTAACTATAACAAGCCAATTTATGAATGAAATGTTCATTTAAAATTTTTATTTCAAAGATTTCAAGTAGTGACTATATATACTTTGCGAAGTGATAGTGAGTGGGTGAATCCTGCTAATTAAATATAAAAATGTTTTTGACCTCACAAATGGGAGGTCAGATGAGGAGGTCAGATTTGTCCCATGAGATCACTAGAGGTCATTGGAAGTTGAATTACTGTATTTTGCTGCTTATAAGATCTTTTTTTGGGGGATATTGACAGGAAATGAAATGCCTGCTACAGTAACACTATCCTTTATTTCTTATACTACTGGTCACAAAGCAGCATCATTTATGGTAGACACTTTAAGAATAATACTACTGTGTATACTATGTTTCAGTTCGTATTATGCACTAACTTCTCTTCTAAATAGTTACCATAAATTTGATAGTTCATCTCAATCTGTAATTAATTTGTCATGATTAGTCATGCTTGAAAAATGCTATTCAGTAAATAAAATTGGGGATAGTGTGTACGCCTAAGGAAAAAGCTTTTTTTTCTAATTGCCTCCTTCAAAATTAAGGGGAGAGTCTAATGCATTGGAGCATCTTATCAGCAGCAAAATAAAGTAGATTGCAGCCTTTATGATTTGTGTTGCTGTCAAACAAATTATATTCTTGAAGGTAAACTGAAGGTCAATTTTGAATTAAAATAGCTATTTTTTTTCATTTAAACTTAAAAAGTTACACTTTATTTTTTTTTCTATTTAGACTGGAAAATAGCACAGCCCTGAAAAGTGTTTTCAAATAAAAATTCTAAATATTAAGGATAAAACTTGATTTTTTTTTCAGCTGTTTAAAATGTAAAAAAAAAATTGTCCCAACTTACAAAAACTACCAAAGGCTTTGAGAGCGAGTAATTCTTGTTTAAAAAATTGAGGCAATTGAAGACATAAACAACAGATTGAGAAACAAAATTACATTTTTGTTTACATGGATCATTATTTGACAAATATTTAAAAATTGAGATTTTTTTTATCCATTGCCAGATGTTCCATTGCATGTTCATGGAAATAACAAGATGTCTCATCAATATATCTAATTTTACAGTTATGGCATTCAAATTTATATATAACACATGCTATAGAATCAATTAGTATTTTGTTTTTATTTGAAAACAAAGAAACAACTTTTTGACTTGTGAAAACAATCCTTAACATCTAAAAAATCTTGACCAAATCATTAATTTTAAATTGAACAGATATTGAATAATCCTCCAAGTATAGAAGTTTAAAAACTTTCTGCAGATGATAGTCACATTTTCGTTTTCATTAATGTTATCATTCACAGCTGTGGATAAAAAGTTCAATTTTTAAACATTTGTCAAATAACAATCAGTGTCAACAACAGATTCCTGGAGAAGTTCAGCTGTACATGTCAACTGACACTTTAGTGCATATTCAAAACCCAAATTAGTTCCCTAACTCCTTTGAGCTGATGGTATTTCTTCTCACAGAATTCAACTAAATGTTAGGGTGTCTATAATTCTTCTGACAAATCTTGTCTTTTCAAAGTTATACAATAGAACTGTTAAGCAGCTTCTCTAACAACTCATTGAGGCAACTACTCTAACTGGAGGCTATGTTCATTTCCAGGATCTTCATAATTCTAGCAAACTTTGAATTAAAGAAATTTCAATTCTCAGTGAAGCTCAGCTTTATAATGTCATAATCATCAAAATAAGAGACAAGAACAATTTCTACACAACATATTTTCTCCATGTTTTCTGGTTGTTCTCTGGTTGGATTCCCAAAATTTTCATCTTGCTATTCAACAGGAGAAAGATTAATTCTGTGGACCTAAAATCCTTGTTATCCTAAGGAGTAACATCATTTGCTTTGTTTCCAGCATCAAAATTTTATTATTATTATTGGTAAAAGCTACTCTTTCATGTGTAAATATTGTGAATAACATATTTTCATTTATGTCACATAAGAAATATATATATATATATATATATATATATATATATATATATATATATATATATATATATATATATATATTCAAGAACATATTCTTCCCTGCATTGTTATATCAGGTCATCCCATACTAAGTACATTAGTAAAATTATAACTGGCTAATACTGTTTTTTACATTTCATTGTTAAATTAAGAAAAACTTGTCATTAAATAATACCAGTCAATAGAAATACTTGCTTTGCTTAGAATCAACATAAAAACTCACAGCTCTAGAATTACTTAAAGTAAAGGTTATAAAAAAGTATTAGCAGAATCTTTTTCTAATTTCAAAATTGCTAAATTACTATGTTGGTTAAAACATTGAAAATGTTTGCAATTCAACCAACCATTGTTAACAGTTTGTTTTTTATTAGTCAAACTGCAACCACTCTTGCTATTAATATCATATGGCCATTCAGTTTAAAAAGGTGTAGTGAATAAATCAAAATTATTAATTTTCAAGCAAGGAAGTAATTTGCTGTTCAAAGGATGAAATTTAACAATAAGATTTAATATTTTTATTTATTAAAACTTTTAGTTTTTGGGTTTTGAGGTAAGATCTATTATAAAACCAAAACCAAATAAACAAAACTATTTTTTTTTTTAAATAAGTAAAAAATGAAGCAAATTAAAAAATACAGTAATTATTAAAAAAGAAACTGAAAGGTAAAACACAAATAAAATTAAAAAAAATAAAACCTTGAAAAAATTGCAAGCAAAAATAAATGTGATGTGAATATGAAATCTATGAAGTTTTATAAATTGGCAGAATCAGAATATAAGTCAGTAAATTTGGAAATTTTGTGATAAATAAAAATGATCTTAGTGTTTGTTAAATCTATGAGGAAAATTTTGTTAACATTTAGTTAGAACTCAAGATTAAAATTTACTTGAAATCAGCCCAAAATACTAAAACCATATAAGTTGTATCAGAATGATAAGCAACTTATTCACCAAATATTATATATAATTACTTGGATTTATTTTTCTTTAAAAATGATCTGAGACAAGTACATCAAAAGTACTGATGTGACATCTTTTTTACCTCTATTGATTGATTTTAAGGAATTTAGATTTATTTATATTATTTATGCATGTCCATTAATTATATAAATGCCAAGTGAAAAACTCCAAGAATTTGAGAATTAAAACCGAGTTTAAAATAAGGATGAGAAAAGCAACAAAAACTATGAAAAAAAATTTTTGAGTGCACAATTTCCATGCAATAAACATCAACAAAAGCAAAAAAGTGTAAACGAAATATTTTTTAACAATTTTTATAGAAAAGGAAATGAAATTTGTTCAAAATTTCCATATTTCATGCATATTGTTCTCAAACAAAGGTAGAAGGAATTCAAATATATAATTGGTGGTTAATCAATATTTTATTAAGAAAGTGAGATTGGTTTGAAATTTGAATCTTCTTTTGAGTACAATGATTGGATATTTACAAAAGTAAAACTAACTTGAAGAAAAAGGATGCTTAGAGAAATCGAATAGAAACTGAAAGGAATCATACCAGAGAAGAAAGAAACAAAATGGAGGTAAATCAAAAAAAAAAAAAAAAAAAAAAATCTCAGTTTTTGGTTAGTCCTCTTATAGTTTTTTTGTCTCTCATCATTAAATACTGAAACAAAAAAAATTCAGCAATGATCTTCCTCAGGTGTATAATTCCTACTTATTGTTTCCTTCCCACCTTAGACTGATTATGATTTGACTATTATTTTCTACAAGAATTGTCTGTATCTTTGGTTGCTTTGATATGGAACCATTTATAAGAAAAAAAGAAAACAAATAAATGATACTTGATAAATTAAGACCCCAAAAAATGTTGGTCAAAACAATGCGAAAACCATCAAAAGATTGAGAATATTTAATCTAAATGATTGTGGAATAATAGCAATAATATGTCTCAAAAGTTCAGACAATATTTACAAAAGCTCACTTTATGATTCTAAGATTCTATATTCAATTAAAAACCTTTCTCCTAAGCATTACATGATCCCCTACCATCACCTTATTGTGTTTGTGCCTAAAAAACAAAAACAAAAAACACATATTCTGCCAAGTTATCTTATTGAAATGTAGGGTGATCAGGTTCTTATTGCTGCCTCAGTATTAATATTTCTTGTTTAGTTTATTTTTCCTTACAGAATATTTGGAGGCTGATTAAACTTGCATTTCTTTCTTGTTAAAGACAAAAGAATAAAAGTATTTTTGAAATGTTTTCCTCATTTCTGTTTGTTATTTATATTGTTGCACTTTTCCTACTTCAAATCAAAATCAATGACTATTATTAAAAAAAAATACATTTGAAAAATCTAATTTCTGCTAAACTAGAAACCTTGTCATCACAAGTAATGAGGTCTTCATTTGATTTGATTAAACAAAAAGATACAGTTTGATGAAAAATAATAGAGAAAAATTGTCTTTTCATTTGTACAAGGAAAGAGAGAATATGATGACAGGTGTTGAATAATCATTTATCTGTCCTTTAAATACAAAAGTTAAATGGAACTGAAATCCATTGTGAGTATATTTCAATTTTCTTTCCTTTCTTAAAAGTTACGAATTAAAAAAGATAAAGTTCTGAGATATAATAAACGTTTGCTTTTTTAGAAAAAAATTTGATAATCAGAAATTTCCTGAAGAACCAAAGATAAATCTTTCTTAGTTTGCATATCTACAGAATACCAGATTTGGGAATCAAAAGGAAGCGTTAGTAAAGATTAATCTGAGAGAGAGAGAAAAAGGAGAATAAAGTCATGATGAAGATTATCCCACTTACTAGTTGTGTTAATTTGTCAACCTGAAACAAAAATGAAATTAAAAGATTCTAAAACTTCTGAGAGAAACTCTGAAAGAACCAGAAAATGGCTGATAATGTTCAAAAATTAAAAGAAAGCTTAGAAAAAAAAAAAAAAAAAAAAATGATATTTGACAAACAAGAAATAAAACTATTTGAAAGACTTATAGCATTGGAAAAGATTTTGTTAAATTAACAATGATTTGTATGAGTATCACTCAAAGACTAGAGCAATCCAGATTTTCATGATTTTGTAAGTGATTAAAATGAATTTTATTAAAAACAATGTCATCTGCATTAAAAAAGATTACAAATAAATTTTATGTAGAAAGGATCATAAATTTACAGACTCAAGAATAGGCAATGTATTGCACAAGTACCCAAGATACTAATTATAAAGCTCATTTGTAAGGAAATATTTTATTTATTTACATTTTCTTATCTTGAGAAGACTAATTTACTTCTTTTTTTTTTTTTACTACAAATATACAATCGAAATTCTGAAAACTGAAAAACTTTGAAAACTTATTTTATGATTTTTCTTTATCTAATTTGATTTATTACCAAACTAATAAATACTGTTATCTTAAGAGATTAGTTTACCTGATTTGGTAACAATATTTACATAGTTCTCTGTATAGAAATTGCTGCTTCCTAACAATGACTTCATTATTTACTCCTTATATGGTACCTGTAGTATTGTTCCAAAATCTAGTGTATCTGGTATACAAGGGTTAACTGATATTGAAAATAAAGGTCAAAATATGGAGATTAAAACTTGACTTAGTTTCTTGACAATCTCTACAAAAGTAATATTGAAAGCATTATAGTATCAATAATATTATAATATTGAAATTGTATGAAAGCAATATTGTTAAGAGTCAACACACTAAATGTTGATATTGTATAGAAACTGATTTAAAGATTTTTATAGAATTTTCAACTTAATAATCCAGCAAGAAAATATAAATGTCATCTTCTATTGTAAATTTAAATACAGAAATTTGAGGTTATTATTGAACAAAATTTGAGTCACTTACAATGAGAGAAGTCACAAACTGGTCATAAAGCTTGATGGGATTCCAACTAATGATGATGTCATATGTAATCACAGCACCTAGCAAAGTGTTAAAAGAACAAAATAAGACAAAGATATTGATTAAAAATTAAAAATAAGAAAAATATAAGTAAAAGTTATACTATCAATTTCCTATAGAGCTGGCAAAAACAAAATATTTTATTCAGAACCAGATATTCATGAGTAAAAAAGCTTCTATTATACAAACCAAGCATAATGCTAGCAGAATATTTGTCATATGGAATGGTCAATATGTGGTCAGGCCCGCAAGTTGAATTTTAATTTAGAATTATGTTAAACTGACCAAATTTAGAAAAGTTCAAAGTGAAAATCATTAATGACACAAGAAAATGTTTACAATCTCTGTGGAAAAAAATTTCTGGCTTCATGCAAATTTAAATTGAAACTGAGTCAATATAATATTTTTAAAATAAAAATTCAGTAACCTCAAAGTGTGTGTGTATGTGTGTGTGTGCACATACAACATTACCTATATTTCAACTGACTACAAAAAATATTGAACCAATACCATCATCCTTATTCATGCCAATGGATGTTGTTTGTTTTTTTAAGCAAACAGCATGTGTATGAGTAGAGTTCAGGTAGGGTCCAGGCTGGTGATAGATCAGACTGAGTTTCAATACAAGAAATGACATTCTTCCATTTCATGGTACCAGAAAATGAAGAAAATATATAGAAATTTCTATATATCAAAACAATGTTAGTCAAGTGAATGACAAAGTGGAAAAAATTAAGTGTAATCAGTTTCCTTTTAGAGTCTTCTAAAAGGATTTCATCAGACTAAAATAATGTTCTTATTGATGGAATTATATATGTTTAGGAGGAGGAAGGATATAAACATAAATATTGGTTATTATTATGCACTGAGGGGAAACACTGAAGATGTTGCAATGCTAAACTTAACATTTTTAAGTTTTAAAATATTTCAGATGGAAGGACATTAGATGACCAAACCTGATATAAAACTATCGAACACCAAATTGGAAGCCCTTCACTTTGGACTAAAATATGCGACCAGGATTCAAAATAGGGACCTTATAAACACAATAGTTAAGAAGCATAGACACACTGACACAGAATTTAACAAATGTTTCATTCAAGGATTTATTCCTGCCATTCTTGTAACAAACACTGAAAGAACTCTACCACAGAAACACTTTAAAACATTAAGAAACTTAGCCAAAAATAAGGAAATTTACATCACCTTCTCAAACAAAAGAGGTGGAATTGTTATCATGAATAGGAATACATGCATACAATGAAAAAATTAAATTCTTACTCAACAATACTAACACATAGGAGGAAACAGATGAATACAAAACAATTTCAGAGACAGAAATTTAACAAAGCAATTAGAAAATCAGTTAGTAATGAAGACAAGTTATGGTATAAACTAATAGAAACCATAATAAAATACCCAAACCTTTTAATCTACCTAAAAAACACAAATTAGTCATTCTGATGCGATCTAATCCTTTCAGGAATTGGTAGTACTTTCCAGGCTGGCAAACTCGATAACAAAAATTTTTAAACCCTCCTTGGAACAATCAGTCCTTCATATATTAAAAATTGAAGTAACCTGGTTGAAACATTACGGGGAGTAAATATGACAGATAAATGCATACATAATTTAGATGTCAAATCCCTTTATACCAACATTCCCGTCAACAAATGCTTAACTTTAAAAATAAAAATTAGTACAATCAAAAATAAGCCTTTTCCTGCAAATAGATAAAAATCATAAACCAATGTTATTTTGATTTTAACAATGATTTTTATAAACAAAAGTTCAGATTACTGATGAGATTGAATATTAGCAGAGTTTTAGCTTGTCTGTTCTTAGAAATTTCCTGAATCTGGTCCTTTCCAAAGTATTTTACCTAAACAATTAACATATTTCCAATATATTGATGCTTTATTTATATATCTCCACAAAACAATATTATAATATATTGTAGATAAACTAAAAGCCAAAGGTACGATAGAATTTACTTACAAAACAGAAACAAACAATAAATTACTTTTCCTTGATATCATGTTAAACTGTGCTGATAATGACTAGAACTAAGTGTCTATCATAAATCTACCAATAAAAATGATCTCGTAAATTTCTATTCTCACCATAATAAAATAAAATCCAGAATAATCATTGGATTCTAGTTAAGAGAACTCAGAATTTGTAGGCCTCAGTATTTACATGATGAGAAGATATACATTGAAAATACTTTTAAACTCCTCTAATATCCTAATTATTTCATATTTAATGCAAAACAAAGCTCATCAATTTTTTTAAAAATAACAGAATGAACGATACAAACAAATTTAATGAAACAAGACACCTCATACAACTTACTAACTCTATCACAATAAAAAATTAAAAGAATTAATCCATCAACACAGCCTCAATATCCAAAATTATTATCTATAAAAATAAAAAACAACCTATTTAAATCTAAAAGCATACAGCCATGATAACGGATGATGACAACTGAAAGCGCTTGGCAACACACCAAGGACCGGGGGTCTTTTTTCAACAACTGAGATCCAAATACATAGAAACTTGCCAGAAAGCAAGAAAAAAATTGAAGGAAAGATTATTAAATGGAAAAGTTCTGTTGCCTTCAATAACACATGCCTCAATAATGACATGCTGCCAACATACATATACATATATATATATATATATATATATATATGTATATGTATGTTGGCAGCATGTCATTATTTTCAACATCATCACTTGATAAGACACAGAGTGTGTTGAAACAAAATGGCTATTTTTGTAGTGATTTTATAACATACTTATGTTATAATTTTTTTTTAAAAAATAAATATATATATATATATATATATATATATATATATATATATATATATATATATAGAGGTGACAGTCTGTTTCATGCTATATGCAATCGTCAGGCCACATATGCTGTTATTTTTTCTCGTTTATATATATATATATATATATATATATATATATATATATATATATATATATATAGTATATATGTGCATGGTGCATTATTCTATTCTATTATGGCGGTTATTTTACCGGAAGTTGTTTGTTTATTTATTTGGGTCAAATTATATTGCTTGTTTTTATTTTTTTGTTTCTTATTTTATTTATTTATTAACGTAGTAAAAATTTGTTTATATCACTTATTTAACAGTTTTGTTTTGGTTTGAGAGTTTAATTAAAGCTATTTGTTCAACCCATATATATATATAAATAGCCGACAAAAATAACAGCATATGTGGCCTGACGATTGCATATAGCATGAAACAGACTGTCGCCTCTAAGTGTTGACTTCTATGTTCACTTTTATATTTACACGCTCTATCTCTGATATTGAGCACTTTATTCCATAAATATAGCATACCTTAAGACTATATTTCTTATATATATATATATATATATATATATATATATATATATATATATATATATCAAGGAAAGGTAATTTATTGTTTGTTTCTGTTTTATAAGTAAATTCTATTGTACTTTCGACTTTGTTTAGCTTATCTACAAGATCAGGTAATATTGTTTTGTGGGGATATATAAATAAAGCATCATCAATATATTGGAAATAGGTTAATTGTTTAGATAAACTACTTTAGAAAGGATCAGATTCAAGCAACTCTGATTCTAAGAAACTCTGCTAAGAGGCAATCTCAATGGTAAACTGAACTTATAGATGCTTTTATATATTGTGGGTGGTGGAGGTTATCTTATAAAAGCATCTATTCCTAACATATATCTATACGTGCCTTGTGCAAAGTGTTATGGAGTGGTTTCACATTGGAGGCTTGTATTTGTACTAGTCGGTCATAAAATAGGTTCGACTTGCAAAACGTTAGGAACTTCATATAATAGGTATGACGCAGAGAAATCTAGTCGTGGTCACTGATACTTTAGTATCCAACTAACGGTCGTCCGGTATCGACTGACTGAGCAACTCACTGAGCAACTCAGCGACTGACTCGTTACTCTTACTACTCATACTTATTATAGGTGGGAGAGTCTATTAACTATAGAATAGGTGTGTTCCACTATAACATCCCCCCTTAAAACTTTACTCTGTAGGAGTAAACAGTTTTCTTTATTTTTTATAGGAAATATGAAGAAAAAACAAACACCAAAAAAACAAATTCTTTTTTTTTTTAAGCAACATCGTAGCATATTTCCTACGTTTTTTTGATCCAATTTAAATGATCAGTTGCCTTTCTTTTTCCTTCTGGATCGGCGTACCTCAGGTAAAATTGTTGCAGGCATTGTTAGATCAAATGTATTGAAAATCACCTCCATTGGCGTTTTTTCCGCGGGACCGCTGTCAACCACGTCTGAAAAATGTCGTCTGATCTGGTTACTGCACGTGAATTTTTCACCTTACACCAAGTACATCATATTGCCAATCCGCTTTTCTATTTTTTGATACCTCCATAGTGTTAGCAGAAACAACCTTCCGCTTTGCGCTTCTTAAGAATGTAGTGACAGTTTCTGTAGGTTCTTCTTGTGGTTCTATTTGTTCAGCCTCTAGCTTCCCTTTTGTTGATCTTGTGCTTCTTAACGTTTTCTGTGGTGACTTCAGTTGACTTAAATCATTTAATAATACTGCATGTCCTTGGTTGCGGGTAACTCACTCCCCAGTTTTTCTCGTTGGCTTCATCCTTACTTTCTGGAGCTTTTTTTTTCATGTATATCGCGGGTGTTACCCATTCAACTTTTTTAAATACACCGGTTTTCTCTAATCTGTCCAATTCTTTATCTATCTGTTCAATTGAAGCAAACAGCACATTCCTTTTCTTTTTGAATAATGCCTGAGCGTTTTCTTTTGGCTGGAATTTTGCCTCCATCTTGGTACATGTTCCCAAACCTGGAGAAAAAAACAGTAGGAAATGTTTCCTTACTAATTTTTGGGCTTCTGAGTTTAAACTTTCAACCTTGTAACAGAAAGAATTTATCGGTAGATCCCATAATTGAAATTCTGTTATCCAATTTGTACCAAGTAAGTTCGTGGTATTTTCTATGACAAATAGTGTAGCTTTTTGCGTTTTCTTATTTAACGTGACGTTTGTAACAAATTCGCCAATAAATTGTATTTTTCTCCTGTCACTGACCTCGCAATTTTATTTGTCTTCATTAAAGTTGGTTTCCCCAACTTCTTCCACGTATGCAAATTTATGACAGATAGGTCAGAACCAGTGTCGAGTTGCATTTTTATTTTTTTATTACTTATTTCGACGGTAACAAATTTTCCGGTTATTCCATCGTTCACCTCGTCGGACTTTAATTTTCTTATTTTATTGTCTTTATTTTTTGACCTGCAGTGCGAACTTTTATGACCCACTCTTTTACAGTTGAAATATTTTTTATTCCAAAAATTGCAATATCTGTACCAGTGAAGTTCACCGCAAGCAAAACATGGCTTCGGGAGTTTTTGTTTATTTTTCTCTAGTATTTCACTTTTTGTTTGATAATCCGCAATTTTAGAATTCTTTTTGGTAGACTGACTTTCTTTTTTGTAGCGTATTTTCCTTACATGCGAAATGCCAGACTGTTCTATCTTATTCAAATCTTTCTTTACGCTAACATACCTTCTGCCAACCTCTGTATCATAATCCTTGGCCCGTTTCCCAATTTTGCCAGCACTAATTTTCTCAACTCTGCGTCTCTTTCTGATACCGGCCCTTGAACAAACACTAAGCACTTAAAATTGCCAGCGCTTAACTCTGCCAGCTTGAATTCTTCACAATGCTTGTTCACATTGGCTGCATACGTTATATAGTCTTGTTTGTCATCTTTAATTCAGATTCAAACATTTCCACCTCTTGTGAAACAAAGATGTCTTTTTGCTAAATAATTCACTTAATATATTTACCGCCTCGGTAAATGTCAACTCACTAGTTTTTTTTTCGGTAAAATGTAGTTTACCAATTTGTTATGCTCAGCAGTTCATAATTTGCTTAAAAGAAGTCTAACCTTCTTTCCTTCAGACCACAAGTGACAGTCCTCATTATACAGTCCATATATTTTTTATAATACTCTTCAAAAGTTATCTCTTCATCTGGACTGTACGTGAATATTTCAATTGAATTCCATATTGTATTCTCTGGGAAAGAATCATTTTGTAGATTTTTCTCTTTCCTCTTCTCAGTTATTTCCAGAATTTTGTTTTGCAACTCCTTATGCATCTGTTCCATTTCTCATTGAAACTGCATCTGTCTATTAAAAGTTTCCTCCTGTAGTTGCATCTGGAATGTTTTCTGTTGCTCTAATATTGTCATCTGTTGTTCCGTCTGGAACTTATTTTTGCATTCCTCCATCTTCGCAAAAAGTTTACACAATGCTTAAATATTGCAATTCGTGACCTATTTGAGCAAACTGTCTTATCGAGAAAAAAAAAATTCTTTTCTCAGTTGAGAATATGACTGATTTTTTCATCAGTAAGTTGACGTCTTGTCTTTCGAAAAACTTTGCCAATTTTTTTTTTTTTTTTTTAAATGTGAATCTGAGATGTTGTCGCCGAAAATTGTGACGAGCAAGTTTTTTTTCCTTTTTCCTCTGTATGAGTACGAATGTGTTGAGCAAATTTTTTTTTTTTTCTTCCACCGTATGAATTCGAATCCCTTCAACAAATTTGTAATGGTGGGTGAATTTTTTTTTTCCTCTATATGAGTTCGAATCCTCTTCACCAAGTTTGTTATATGGCGAACAAATTTTTTTTTCCCTCTGTATGAGTTCAAATCCTCGTCGTCAGATTTGTTATGGTTTGTGAATATTTTTTTTTCTTCCACTGTATGAATCCAAATACCTCGTCGCCAAGTGTTATGGAGTGGTTTCACAGTGGAGGCTTGTATTTGTACTAAGTCAGTCCTAAAATAGGTTCGACGTACAAAACGTTAGGAACTTCATATAATAGGTATGACGCAGAGAAATCTAGTCGTGGTCACTGATACTTTAGTATCCGACTAACGGTCATCCGGCATCGACTGACTGAACAACTCACTGAGTGACTCAGCGGCTGACTCGTTACTCTTACTACTCCTACTTATTATAGGTGGGAGAGTCTATTAACTATAGAATAGGTGTGTTCCACTATAACAAAGATTGAGAGGAAATGCACAGAATTAATATATATATACAAAATATATAAATACTGAAGGATAGTGTGATAAGTTGACAGTTCAAATGTAAATGTCAGAGAGAGAGAGAGAGAGAGAGAGAGGGAGAGGGAGAATATGTATGTATGTATTCAGAATTAGTAATCATTTGCTTAAATAGGTGAAAGAAATATGTACGTTTTCGTTTCAACACAGGACTGTGTGAATGTCTCACTCTCCAGTGATAAGAGGTAGGTATTGTATACACCTATGCAAGACTGTGGATCATGTATAAATGTTGTATTTCAGCTCTGGGTATGTTATGATGACTGCAACATCAGAGAATTTTAAAAATTAATTCATCAATTCTTATTTAGCCTGACTGTCCATCTCATTATATATTTATCTAATAAAGCAAAGAGATTGCTGCTTCATTTCTGATTGTTCCACAAGCTATGAACTCATATTCTGGTGGGGAATAGAATGTCTGATTGGTTTACTAGACTATCATGTTCATAGTATTGTTGGGACAATTTCTTATTGGATAGTTGAAACATGACTTCATAGCCTAGCAAATCTAAATATGTATCTATTTTTAGTGATGGTGAAATTTTGGTCTCCTTGTTATTATTTATGCATTATTTTTGTATCACTATGTTATAAACATACATAAGATAGCATGGTAGAACAAACAAAACCACAGTATCACCAGTGAAGTGAAAGGAAAACAAGATAAGAATTGTAAATATAAATTTATTTTGTATTGCTGATACAGTGGATGCAAACAGAATGTCTTTGATGTAGGTAAGAGAGGCAAATTGGAAGGAAGGGTAGTGTTGGTAAGGCCTGCAGTTTATGTCTTTGTTGGGCTGGTTAACCAAGGTCACAAGAGTGACATAGAGAGGCTTGAAGTGGATTAGTGAAGCTTACTGTGAATCTGTCTCAGTTGTTTATAAGTGGATCCTAGATTCATCTTTTGTTTATGTTTTTTCTTTGGCAACAATGTTCATGATTGTTTTATTTTATGTTATTTTATATTTATTGAGGGGATTTGTTTTGTTGGCCAGAAAATGACTTTTTTGTTTTAGGTATTGCATTCTTAGCACTCACATGTGACCAACATAGAGAGTGAATCAGAAAGTGATCTAATTTGAAGTGGAGTATAACAACTACTTATATTCTTATATTTCTATATCCTGCCAAGATGCACATGGAGATTAGTTAAGTTGATAGATTTTGTTTCCTTGCATTGTCATAGGTTAAGTGTATATATGTTTTGCTGTAGTCCAAATAGAGTAACAAAGGAGTTTTGCACTTTCTTGTTTGGGCACAAGAGAGGTGGTCTTACCAGCTCAATAGTACAATTAAACTGTTCTATATCAGTGTTCATATGAAAGTAAATATCCCATTGGTACACCTGATGATTTCACATCATAACATTATTCCAAATAAATAAATGCACACACAAAAACAGAAACAAATTCTTTAAATATGCAATAAAACTGACAAAGCAATCAAGAACTTTTACACAATTTTCTTTTTCAACAATTTGAATTGAGTGATTATCATGAAAGAATTTGTAGAAATGAAAAGCTCATAAAAATAGTAGTTCTTACCTAGAGAATGAGCAGCAATTGAAACTTTGCCAGCATTTGAATGAAAATAGGGATTCCGAACACAGAACATAGTATAGAGTCGGTTTAATTCTGATTGCAAACCATGAGTAATCTGCCAAGAAAATTAATCCTAATCATTTTATGGCAACATAAATTTATGAAACACAAAAGACAATTTATATTGATTATTTAAAATACTGAGCCATGAAGTTATTCATAAGCTGCATAAGTGACTATTTTATTTTGCATTCTATCTGTGATTTCATAATCTGTGAATTAAAGAAAATTATTGCAAAATTATCATACATACACACACATTATATATATATATATATATATATATATATATATATATATATATAAAAAAGAAAGAACAGTAAGATATATAATCTGGTGTTCTTATTGATATTTTTTACAAAATAGTGCTCAATGTAAATTTACAGAGCATTAATATTATAAATTAACTGATTTAAAATATGGTTTTTTTCACTACACAGTAATAACTATGTTTAAAAAATGGAAGCTAAAAGCTTCAAATTTAATTTTCTAACTAAATTAAAAACATTAATTCCATTTCATCCTCAAGCAAATTTACTGAGTTTTAAAGACACAGAAAATTCATAATTCACTGTTTCCAAAGATACAGAGAGATCCAATCATTCAGACAAGGGGTGGTAGCATGTTCATTTTTATTAACTTTTGTTGTATCAGTTATTAGTTACGTTCGAAAAAAGGGTTATGTTTAGGCACGGTAGGGATGTATTTTTCAACAAATTCTGATATCCGTTAAATGCATGTCTGTTTTTTTTTTTTTAAATCTCATTGATAACGGCAAAAAATTCTTATGGCATTTTTTCTATTTGTATATTTAAAGATTTTTTGGTGATGTTTGGGTTAGAATACGTTTTATTAACTACAATTTTAAAATATTTTCACTTTTCATTTTTAATAGACTATATTTCTTTTAAAACAAGTAAATGTACTAGAATTACTTACAGTATATAAAATTATTTTTTCATATCAAGTATAAGTATGTATATTACCAGGTCACATTTTTTTTTAAATTTTATTTTTAAATATTATTTAAGGAAAATTTTTGACAATGATGGCAAAAAATAGCTAATTCATTTCTCTGATCCAAAAAACTTTTATTTTTTATAAACTTAGTAATGTATTATAGTTTCTCATGTATGTAGAAAGGACATGAGTCACTTAATGTCCTACATATTCTAGCTTTTCTTATTAACTTCCATTTTACTGTAGGTGTTTTATCGGATTATTTTAGGTGCCAGAAGTACTTTGAAGAGATGTTTGATTTCTATATTTATTTATCCTAAATGAACTTTGATGTTGGTTGATGTTTTTTGAACTCATGGCTTGTGCAACCTATATAGATTTTTATGTTTTCAAGATTTTCAATAGAAGAGATATTGCATTGGTATACTAATGATTCTGTGCGACATTTATTTTGTAGAGGAGAGTTGTGAGGGTTTCTACAGTTACATAATTTTTTAATTTTTGTTTATCTTCATCTGTTTTTATTTTTATTTTTCCATTGTCTAAAATTTTTTGGTTCTGGTATAAGTGTTTATTTAAAATATTAGCATTATGTTTCTTAATATTTTTTTCTAAGTTTTCAGTACAGCTGTAACTTAATCTTTGTGTATTTTTATTGAAAATAGTACTTAGTTTACTTTCACTAGGAAAACGCTTGATTATTAATGCAAGGAATTTTTGTCTTACTATGTTCTTTACCATTTGGTTTGTATATATATATATATATATATATATATATATATATATATATAGGTACTTCCAATTATATATATATATATATATATGTATATATATATATAGGTACCTTCAAAGATTCACTAAAAAATGAACATACATGATTAAAGAAATGTCTCAAGCATAATAAAAACAAAGTTTAATCATTAAAATTTTTGTTATTATTAAGAGGAAAGCCCAAGGAATTTTTTTGAGTATTAAATTATATTTCTTGATTCTTTTTAGAATGTTTTAAATTTTGGCTAAAAAAAACATTGTTTTTCCTGCATCAGCTGTTGACCATAAATTAATATGGGAAATTTGAGCCTCTTTTTGCAGTGAGTTGGAAATTCTTGCAAAAATTAGTTTGTCTGATTTTAATGAAACTTTCAAGACTTATTCACCAATAAATGAAATTATTTTAGAAATGTTTCTTAGTGATCTTGGTAAAAACATTTGTTTTTTTACATCTGTTACCTCCTGCTCCCACTTATTTAATTTTATGAAATTCATTTTTGTACCACTTAGTGTTTACATATGTTCTATGCAGGAATCCTTGGAGAATTCAAATCATCAATGTTTTTTTTTGTAAAACAGGAACCCCTGAAAATTTGCTCTGAATAATAAAATAAAAAACCAATAAAACTAAAACATTATTTAATTAGAAGAGCTTTTAATTGCTTTTATGAATAAGATATATTATGGACACTATTGTGTTAAGAAAAATTGTTTTTTATTTTTTTAAAAATTTTAATTAGAATAATTTCTAAATTTTTAAAATTCTGCCCTAATTTGTCCCAGTTGATATTGTTATTAAGTAAAACCTATATTTACTAACCATAAATGGAAAAGCTTACAATTCAACAAGCAGCAGTATTTTAAAAGAATTAATTTTTTTGAGTGTGTATCAAAAACTGAAAAACAAATCAAATATTTGCAATGATGAATGAATTTATGTTTAATACAGTAGAATTTTATTTTTCTGGTGAACTTTAGCTTGAAACAATTTATTACAGAAATTTCTTTCCTTTTTTATTTGTGAGTTTACACAATTTAATCTGTTGTTTCATCTTTATGGTTTATCTCATTTCAGTTACTACATTTTTCAGTCATAAATAGATGGACATTTTTTACACTATTTACATTTTTTAATCTAATTTTTTGATCACAAATCAAATTTTTATGACACAAAAATTTTACATATAAAAATTCAATAAGCACGTTATAAAATGATTTGATTTCTATCAAATAAGTAAACATTACTCATAAGCTACTTAAATAGTTACATAAAATTTACATTTTTATGTCTTTCAAAAAAAGAAAAAGTAGACATTAAAGTGTAATTTGATTAAACACAAATATTTTAAAATCATTTAAGATATCACCAAAATATCAAATAAATACACAGACCTATTTAACTTACCTCTGCCCGATAAAGTGGACTAGTATAATATAATATATCCATAGCACTGCTATTTAAGATAGTTCGAAGGCCTTTAACTTTCTGTGGTGTAATATGCTCCACAGTATCTAAAATGCAACCAAATAATGCAGATATTCAATGAATGAGAGAAGACAGTTATACTGATATGATATTTAAGTAACCAATTTGTCTTTATAAAAAGAAAACATAAAACGTGAATAAGTAACCTATTCAAAAATTCTTGTCAAAACTAAAATCATTAAACATAAATTGCAAGAGCAAATAGCACATTTGATTTTTTCAAGTTTTAGGTTCTCTTAAATATAAAATAGTTCAGTTTATTATCGCAATAACAAAAAAATTGGTCACACATTTAAGAGAAATTTTATAGTTTATAAATAGTTGTCTAAATAAATGACAAATCTGATTGAAACCAGCTAAGCAATTTACCACTTTTTGTAAATTTAATTTTTTTTTTTTATTTATTTATTTACTCAAGAAGCAAATGAGGATTATTATAGAAAAAAGTATGAATGGTCATGATAGAATGACAGGTTTGCAAATACTTCTTTTTTGAAAAAAATGTAAAAGCAGCTTCTTTGTTTTAGGTTTCATGGAAAAATAGTCTGTTTTGCTATGGCTGATTATTATTTTCTTGTAAAAAATCTTAAAGAATTGTTCAAATAGAATTGTTCACATAGAATTATTTAATATCAAAATAGGAAATCAGCAAATATTTTAAAACCATTAATAAAATTAAACATCCATATATAATAAAAGAATAGAATAATTAAACTCAGAGATTTTTTTAAGGAGATAGCACATATCCCAGAGCATGTCAGTATTATACACTAAACGTACACATTGTAACTCCTTATACTTCTTAATGTTTTATATCAAATAAAAATATAACAATCCAAAGTATTGCTTTCACTATTTATGAATGGTTAAATGAAATATTAGGTATTTCAAATGAAATGGGTCACCTGGCATGTAGCTGTCTGGGAAACGAGACAGAGTAATAGACGATAGTGCCAGTCTTTTCCCTGGAGCAGATAAAAACATAGCACTACCAGAAATTGCAGTTCAAATTGATGGGAAGCCATGCACAGCACTCATTAACTCTGGTTGCTCCTGATCATTAGCCAGCAAAGACCTGTGCCAATCATGGATGAGAAGGTTTGTGCAGGTGACGACCATCAATGGAGAGACTAACACCTGTGGGTTCAAGGTCATCAATATGAGCCTGAATGGTCTCAATCCCAAAAGGGTTGACATCCTGGTGACTCACAAGAGGCTGCTTGGGTATGACCTGCTAAAATGTATGCTCACCAAAACGGTTACCAGAATACATCAAGAGGACACTGCAAGAGGGAATTGGTATATGCGAAGTCAGGAAATAAAAGTGTGGGTTGATGCAAGTTCCTTGGCTACTGGAGTAGCGTTGGAAGTTGACGGGAAGATTTTTGAAGATGTGTGCTGGCTGTGTCCAGACAGAGACTCGCAGCATATAAATATTGCTGAACTGGACGCAGTGTTGAAAGGCCTTAATCTAACACACCAATGGAAAGCAACAGTGCTGCACCGGCTAACCGATTCAGCATGTGTGCACTGGTGGATCTCTGACTTGAAGGGCAAAAGAGTACACCAAAGCAGCCAGAGATGCTAATAAGACGTTAACTGAGCACTCGGAAGGGGCTTACCAAAAAATATGGCCTAACTATCAATGTGGCCTTGGTCAAGTCTAGTACAAACTGGGCTGGTCATCACATCAGGGTGCTACAGTGATGGCTTGACGCAATACAGAAGGGAGCAGAGCCTATACAGCCAACATATACACCACAGCCATCGATGATTATGCCCAGATAATAAGTATCCATCAGTAAAGGGGATATTTTGGCACAAAGCGCATACTGCATTTTATGAGGTGGGTCAATCCTGCAATGTCCCAGGCTGCAGTTAAGGAAGTGGTAGGACAATATGAGGCATGTCAGTCCATAGACCCTGCTCCAGTACAGTGGATGACTAGGTGGGTATATGTAACAGACACTTGGTGCATAGTAGTAGTGGACGTGACACACCTTGGCAGCAGACACTAATCAATTGTGGCCCTACTCAATTTCCCATCTGCCTTCCACTGTTTTGCCAGGGTTCTGACAGTGTCAGTAAGGACCACTGACTGAGCTACTCACTGACAATGGCACGACATTCTGTGGGAATGCATTCAGAAAATTCATAGAAAGCTGGAGTGTCTACCTGCGCTTTCAATGTGCTCACTTCCTGGTGGGGAATGGCATAGTGGAAAGGGGCTGTCGCACCATCAAGCGCATTGCCACCAGAAAGCAGTGTTCAGTGGAGGAAGCAGTGTATTTCAAAGGACAATACATCACCCTCTATAGCTCCAGCAAATGGAATCTACACCTAACAGGTGCAGGTAAAAGGGATAGACGTTGCATCTCCACCAACATGTGAGAAGAATGCAACCTACAAAATTGGAGATGTAGTGTGGGTTAGGGCCCTGAGCACCATCTGCACATCCAAATTTGGAAAGTGGGTGGTGAGTGAACAGCACGGTCTACACTCAGTTCTGGTCAGCAGAATGCCATGTTATATTAGGGACCTTTGCCTCATCAAGTGGGTGGACTATGATGGTGAATCCTTAGAATGTGAGAGTGCAGTGTAGTGGGACAAAAGCAAGTCATCAGAACCAAGAATCATAGTAGAATGCAAGAATTGCACACAAACGCCCAGTGACATAACGGATGATGATAACCCACCAGTCGGGTGAAGAGATTTCCCCTGTCCAATTCACCTCAACTGGTGGTCCTCCAGCTTAGACACACAAACCACTTCAGTTCCACCACAGAGAAGCACAAGTCAAAAGCAACCACGCGACTGCTGTCAACTGTGTGATCAGATCAGTGGGGAGTGTAGTAATGCAGAGCATGGCTTATCTAGTATGAAACGTGTTTGAGTTGACACAGCTGTAGAAGGAAATTCTGAGGCCTACGGGCGTGCATGTGCAACGACCATCATTTTATGAAATAGATATCACACCTATGCAAATGAAATAAAACTTGCTTCTTACTATATAAGCAGCTACATTGCTTGCTAGTGGAGAGAGAGGGAACTCTGAAGGTGATGCTACTGGTATGTAGTACAGTTGAGAAAGCAGTAAAGAAGACATAGGCAGAAGACTCTTCACTTACTCCACACAAATTTTAAACATTTGGTAGATGGTATAAATTTGAAGTAAAAAGCCAAACACAGGAAAGATTACCTTCACTAAGGTTATCAAAAGGACAAAAGAGTTTGTGTACATTTTCAAGTTCTGGTTTTAAAATTCTTTGACCTTTTTCATTTTAATTTATTTTAATTCTTAAGCTAATGTTTTCAAAGTACAGAAATTAATTTTTCAAATTATGCAGAACAAATTTTTAAGCGAATTGATAACCACAAATTTTGGATAATAATCGGAACTCCTTTTTTGGTTAGTAACATATAAAATGATAAAAATATTTCCTTTCTTAAAATATGAAAATCTAGATGAATTTATTTCTTAAGTTTTCATTAGACAACCTGAAAAAACCTTCTTTGTTATTCTATATATTTGCATTTTCTATTTGTTAAATATAAAAATACACTATTTACATTATTCGGACTATTGTCCTCATTTTTGTTGCCATATTTATCACAACATTTCAGCCATTGTACACTCTTTATTTCACTCACTGGGGTAGACTGTTCTAGTTCCTCATGCCATGTCTAATGGATATCAGTTATCTGTTATCTCCTGTTAATTCCCCTCTCCAAGTTCTCCACCACCTTAACCAGGTATTGAACTCACACTCTTTGGGTCCTGTCACTGGATCTAACTAATGCCTTTAACCACTATGACATGTGTCCTTGAGGACATCTATGTATGAATTTCCATTAGACATGGCACATGGAACTACAACAGTCTACCCCATTGAGCGAATTAAAGGGTTCAGTTCAACATTCTAACGACCTGAAGAAGACCGGAGTGTACAACAGCTGAAACGTTGTGATAAATATGGCAACAAAGATGAGGATAATAGTCCGAATAATGTAAATAGTGTACATAATACCTCATCTAAGACATATAAACAGATAAAAAATAAACAAAAGAAAAAAACTAACCACCATCAAGTTGAAGATTTGATCTCCATTCCACTGGGAGGAATTCAACTCTTTGGTTAATATTATCAAGTTTAGGAAAATACTTCTTTTTTAAACGGTCAACTGTATCACGTAACCTGCAAGAAAAAAAAACAAATACAGAGAAAACAATACAGAAAAATCCTGTTTAATTTGTAAGTATTTTATATTGTTATTTCAAATCCATTCTGTTCTTTGTCAGTGAATTCAACTTGATGTCAAGTCATTTCCTATTTATAGAATTTATATTACCAACATCTGTAATTGATAATTATGTCTAAGATTCATCATTATTATTCAAGTATCATCACTGGTATGCCAATATGGCTTACAGAGGGCAGTGCAAACAGTTGAAGGGAAACTTAATCTACTTTGGGCAGGTAATTTTGTGTGTGTGTGTGTGTGTGTTTAGTCCCTTACTACTTAGTTGAAAATTGCTTATGAACTAGTAATTTGACTGGACTGAAAATTACTTTATTCTCCAAGTTAAACCATTTTAACATTACTGTGTTAACAATGTGCTCCATTTTTGCTGTGTTATAATAGCAGATACAATAATCATATCTTTGGTAATTAAATACCATTTTAAAAGCTGCAAAATTTTTAGAAAAATGATTATGATATAAGGTTTAATAAGTTCAACAAATCCACACTTGAAAACAAGACAAAAAAGGATTTTAAATTAGTGTTTAAAAAAATATGATTTATCATACACAGAAAGAATTTTTCTTTTATTGTGTAAGAGTTTTTACAAATTAGTATAAATTGATAAGTCGTTACAGTTTTTCATCAAGAAAGGTACTGAAGAATTTTGTTTTGTTTACTGAGAGTCTCTATCAAAAAAGTTATTCCCTCTTAATTGTTTTTATTGGAGAAACAAACAGTAAATTACTATTCCAAAAATAATGTCAAATCTACATTCAAGAACTAACATTAAACTTAAAGCTAAAATTTACTTCTTTAATCTATTTAGGCATAAAACAGCATACCTTATGAAATGAGATTAACACATGTTATTGACAAAATGAAACAGTCATAACCATCAGGTTAGATGGAATTCTCACAAGATCCTAAATCTAAAATTAACTGCATCTTCCATTTTAAATTTTCATGGAGGAAAATCAATATTTATCTTGATTTTTTTGTTTCAACTTCACATCAGAAATTAATGCAGGAAATCATCAACTTTATCTCAAAACAAGATAATCCTAATTTCCACTTGACAAATCTTATAACTACACATAAAAGAGACTCCTAAAGTTATAGTTTTGTTAGGCATTAAATAAATAAAATTTTAGATTCATAATATTCTAAAATGTAGTGTTGAGTGGTAATTAGGTTCAATGTTTATAACATCCCAATTTGTGTCAATACATATTAAACACTATATACTGCATGACAGTATTTCAACTAACAAATTTGTTATATTCTGTGCTAATTGGAATATATACTTGAAAAACATGGTGGATAAAAATAAGTAAAGATTTATTGTAAAAACCAATACAATAAGAATAAAGGTAACAGTTATGCACAAGGTTGTTGCAAGTCTATCCAGTAGTGAGTGCTACTATTGGAAGGTCGATAGTTCTTGCGTAAGTCTGAGTTGTACTCAACAGATCCCAGCTAGACTGTAGTCTGTTGACTCACAAATACTTATAGGTAGTTACCCCCATGAGTGACTACACTATAGGTAGTGACAGGTTATTCCATTACATCAAAATCAATTATGAAAAACATAGAAGAAACCAATCTTTAGATTCCAATTACTAACACAAAAAAGATGCCATTGACATTTATCTTTATAGAACAAAATGTGAGAAAAGAAAAAGTTTTCTTACTCATTACAACGCCTTATTATATTGCCAGTGTCCATTTTTTGACCAATACCATGTACAACAAAAACCAAATGAGTGATGTCTGGTGGCTTGTCATCCATTTTAGCTTCATCACAGTATCCACGACTGAGTTTAGTTCCAGCTACAGTAAAAGAATATCAATTTTCTTTGAGAATAAACAAGTTAAAAAAAAAAAAAAAATGCAACACATTCCCAGCATTGCAGAATTATCATTTAGCTGTTTTAACTTTACAATAATTAAAATTTTATTATTATTTTTTATTAAAAAGTTTAACAAATTTTAATCAGTTTTTTCAATGGTTCACTTGCTTTCTAGCAACAGTTCATAAATACTACATGACCAAACACTGCATTTTGTCTTATCCAAGTAGCAGAATTTATGCAAATTAGAAGTTTTAATATTAAGTTTTTAATAATAACTTTTCTGATTACAAATTTTCCCAAAGACTTCAAAGCAGATTAAAAAGCTTCTACTCTTTAAAAATTTACTTGTAAAAATCATTAATATAACTTATGAACTTTTCTTAGATGAGGAATTATTGTTATTATACCCTGATTTAATTGAACTAATATTCTATGGTTTAGTGTTGGTAACCCTACTGATTCGCTAAAAAATTAGCATACCATGATTAAAAAAATGCCCCAAATTTAATAAAAACAATATTTTATTGTCAAAATCTTTATTATTAAGATGAAAAACCAAAGGATTTTTTGATTATTACATTATATTTTTTTGATCCTTTTTAGAACATTCAAAATTTTGATTAAAAATAATGTTTTGTTTTTTTTTGCACTAGCAAAGATGCCAATGATTAGTATAGAAAATTTTAGCATCTTTTTTGTGGTGAAAAACACATTGATTTGGAAATTCTTGCAAAAAAAATTGAATAATTGTCAGATTTTAATGAAACTTTCAGGAATTATTCATAAATGAATGAAATTATTGTAGAAATCTTTTTTTTTAGAAAATCTTAGTAAAAATATTTATTTTTTTTTTTTTTTACAGCTGTTACTCCCCCAACTTATTTAATTTTATGAAATTAAAAGAAAATTAAATTTTGTCCCATGTAATGTTTACATTAGTTAAAAGCACAACTACTTAGAGAATTTAAATCATTAATTTATTTTTGCAAAATAGGACCCAGAGTTACTGAAAATCTGTTCTGAATTGTAAAATAAAAAATGCAATAAAAACTAAGACATTATTTAATTAGAAAAGCTTTAAATTGCTTTTATGAATAAGATATATTAAGGATACTATTGTTTTAAGAAAATAATTTTTCTGATGAATAATGCATTTTTACAAGAAATGTTTTCATTTTTAAAAATCTTAACTAGAATAATTTATAAAGTTTAAATCTTTTAAAATTCAGTCTTAATTAATATAACCACTTAGGTTATATTATTATTCAGTAAAAACGATATTTACCAATCATAAATAGAAAAGATTATTACAATTTACTAACCAAGATATTTTTGTATGTGTATAAACATGCCAATTTTTGTAAATACTGATGGCCATACACAACATTATCAGAAAAATACTAACTTAAATTTAAAACCAAAGTACCTAAAATTCAATAAAACATTAGATTACAGAGAACATTTTCCTAAATTTTTAAAATTATTGGATAGTTAAAAATTATATTAAAAAAGGCCTTCCCGTTATATTCCTCAAGTAATTTTTACTGATATATCCAAAAATTAGATAAACTTCTGTTTATCAGTCAGGCTGTCAACACCTTAAATACAGTTACTGCTGAGTTAAAAATGCATTTCTGCAATATATTTTAAATTTAAAGAAAAATAATATTTTTTTCAAATCAGATTAATTAAACTTTAAATCCCCTAATATTCCAAAAATAAAATTTCAGATAAGTACATTTTATTTTTTAATAAAGAGAATTACATTAGAACTAAAATCAGCAATTTCAAAATGAAAACTCCTTCCAATCAATATAAATTAGTTTTGAAATACAGCAAAGTATTTTGCTCATTGGAAATATTCAATTTAATCTATTTGCTTGAAATTAAAATTAAAATAAAAGATTTTTCATTTTTAAAAAATTTATTTAAACCTTAAATATTGCTTTACTGTGGAGGTACAGAGTTTAATGTATATAGCATTGGTTAAGTGGATCTAGTTGCCCGGCAGTTATGAGTTTATAATGGGTTATCAGTTATAGTGAAGTGTATGAGTGTTGATTAGTTTGATATGGTCTTGTTAGTTAGATAGCTTGTGGTGTGTAACGCAACAATTCAACTGATGATAGCAGGTAGGCACAAAGAAAACCGTGTCGCACGTCCAACCTTCTCACGAGCTGAAAGCCCTCTGATCTGAAACAGCAAAAAACGAGCCTGCTTTTATACAGCTGCGGACCGACCACGATTTGCATGCGAATCACGAGGCAACAGATTTCGCGTTAACTAACCGAGACCGCCCGGCATAAAAGCGTGGGCGCCGTCATTTTGGTTTTCTTTTTTACCGTTGGAAGGACCAGGTTTGCATACTGCGCAGATTCGAGCAGCGTTTCGAGGTAAGCCATTTTCACAATTTCCCCACACTCCCCCTGATCTCATGATCACAAACAGGGCAGGGATGTGGCGATCGTCGCTGTCGAGTCCCTCTCCGAAGGGGATAACACAAGCTTCATCCTCGTCGTGTTCTCGTCTGTGGTTTGAGTGTCGGTAAACACTGTGTCCGCCGGGAGGCTGCTGTTATCAGAATCACTGCCCTGCAGGTCTAACTCAAGGCAGATTGAACGCTCACTACTCCCAGACTCGAATCGCTTTCATCGCTCGGTAGCGGTAGTGATTGCATCACCGGTCGCAAGTCTTTAATGTGACGAGGCACCCCATCAACTCTCACAGATTGCGGGCTGATAACCTCCATAACACGTCCAGTGCCGTACTTTGTCGTACACTTGCCACGTGGGTTTTTGACCCAAACAACGTCTCCTTTTTCAATCTCCTCCAGTCACTTCTAGTTCAGGCAGCGGGTTGGCTTCGATGCCTTTCACGCGACATGATATTTGTGCAGTGCATCAGCCGGCGCCGTGGATGGTGAAATGTCATCTTCGGGCGACATTATACCAGTAAACCGCTTCGATACTGTACAGCCCTTCCTGGCTGTGATGGTCTTGATGGTTCTGTGGTTCTGCTCCACGATGCCGTTTCCACTTGGCGAGTAGGCACATCGAAACCGCAGATGCACGTCCCAAGTGTCCGCAAATTCTTTAAAATCTTTACTGGTGAACGCGGTATCGTTATCCGTCAGTATTTCCACGGGTGGGCCTCGCTCCAGGAAAACATTCTCCAACAGTCGAATGACGGTGCTCGCGTCTTGTCTGCGCAGTGGCCGCCATACCGCCAAACCTGGAGGACCGCAATCAATGAGTGTTAAAAATTCTCACCATTGTAGTGAGTTATGTCCATTGCCAGTCTGCTCCAGTTGCTCTTCACGCTCAGTTCTCCTCTTTCCCAGTGAATGGGTGCGGATCGATCGACTGACAGGTTGTGCAGGCCTTCACAACGGATTTAACGCTTTCTCTGGACACCTGCGGTCGATTAACCTGGCGGCACAGAGTTCGTTTCACGCCCGGATGTCCGCATTGACGATGCGTATTGGCAACCTGGTCCTCATCCAGTCGTCTCCTGCCACTGCACAGCTCTCGAAAAGCGGTTCTCCTCTCTTGAGCAGTTCTAGCCACCTGTGCGGTACTCTGGTGAGGCGATCCGCACGGTTCTGACAGGACTGCACGAAAGTGTCACGTCTACGGTCAATCCATATTCCTCCACCAGCGATCGCAAAATGCCCAGCCGTCGCCCTGACCAGCATCTCACCAGCCGCCCTTGTGTTCACCCGTGCCTTCCCGGTCAAGGTGTCTGAAATCCACCGGTGCACACACCCGAATCAGTAACCAAGTGCAACGTTGTCGCCTCCCCACTGGAGAGCTAGATTCACTCCTTTAAGCGCCGCGCGAGTTCAGCCAAATTAATATGCCTAGCATCATTAGTTGGACGCAGCCAGCACGCATCTTCGATGACATTTCCGTTTACTTCCAATGCCACTCCTGTCGCCACGGAACTCGCATCCACCCAGACTGTGATCTCGTACCACTCATGCACCAGTCTCCTCCGACGGGATCCAGTTCCCGCACTCTACTTAACATCTCTGCTAGTATGCGACAGAGAGGGATCTTTGATGTTATCATCCCATCCAATGGTTGCTGCGGTTGCCAGGCGCTTGACGAATGCAACTGCCACCCTGAGCCATCCCCACACTGGGAAGTGTCCAACAAGTTTCCCACACAATGAAAATACGCGCCCGGTCAACACATCAGGGGCTTCCGGAATTTGACTTCCTCGTTTCCATTGGAGGGTGCCATTTTCTTCCCAGACTTGCAAGCCAAGAACTCTTGCTCCATCTCTCAGTCGCACGGATCCTTGCACACCAAACCGTAATCCGAAAAGTGTTGTCTTACACGCGATGCAGAGGCCAAACTTTCATTAATGAAGATATCATCAACGTATGCTGATGTGGCACTTTCAATTGTGCGGTCTTGCGATGCGATGGCGTCTATAACGGATTTCATGATGAGTGGTGCTACATTTAGCCCAAATCCTAGCCGCCAAAGACAGAAGCGTTGGCCTTTGAAAATAACCGCTTGAAATGGCCACAGCGCTTCGTCGATGTGAATCTGAAGATATCGTTCCGCAGATCCAGAAGCGACACATTGACTCCCTGCTGCCGCCACGTTCTCAACTTATGTGCGCACACCTCTGCATCGGCAGTGAAAGCATCCACAAAGTCATTCAATTCGCGTAATCGGGTGCCGGACGCACCTTCTGTTTCTGCTCCTGCACGACCGCCATCAAGGGAATCAGACCCTTTGGGGTCCCAGTCTTTCCTGGGGGTATGGAATCAGCCAGCCGTTCGCAATCCACTGCTGAAGCTCTTTCTCGTATTTTCCTCTAATGCTGTCGGGAACCTTGTACTCTGCGACCTTGTTGCGGCTGAACTGGCGGGTCTTTTTGAGCCCATTTCCACCTGGCGTCCACACCCTCTCGTCGGAATTGAAGGAGACGCCGAAATCCGCTCACTAATGCAAAGGGCTGCACACACCTTTCTTCTTTCACCCAGTTCCACATTTCCGGCTGGCGGATCATCATGCCTCCTAACGCCGGATCGCATCAATCCCAAGTAGCAGGTCGTGCCGAGGGGCCTTTGACGTGTCACCAAGACGTCCGACTTTGGCATGACTCCCCTCCGTCTGTTAGGACTGACACAGTCCCGACACCACAACAGGCCCGGACACCCCGTCAATCGTCCGAATTTCGATTTGTTGACTGTTCCATGTCACGCATCGATCCACACTAACGATCGATCGGGAACATCCAGTGTCAACGAGCGCCAACATCGTTTACCCTCAACGACACGTTGACAACAGGCAATGCCGCATTTACTGACCGAGAGGGGCAAGGGTTGCGACAGCACATTGTCCCCGGACTCGTTCGAACAATCCTGTGCTACATGGCCTAACTCTTTGCAGCGATAGCAGCGTAGTCGCTTTCGGTTCCGTCTGCTGCTCCCTCCCACGTCCACTTCGCTCCGGCAGTCCCTAGAGAAATGGTTGGGTCCACCACACTTGTAGCACTTTGGGTCCTCCCTCGGTGTCTCAGGCGTTCGCCACGGCTGCTGCGACCTGTTCCGTGTCCTTCAAGATGTTTCGGCCCTGGCTAGCAATTCGTCAATTCCCAGTGTGTCCAATCTTGAAGACGCTCGCAGGAGCCGACTGGTGTCGTCGGGAAGCCCTGCCAGGAAGGCACACCCCAGTAGGCGGTCCGTTGCTCCGCCAAACGTTACTGCCAGCCTTCGCCGTCAGCCAGGTAAACATCCACGGTCTCACCCGGCTCGAGCCGTCGTCCGACGAACTGTTTCCAAGCGATGAATGGGTCTATTCCAAAGGCCGTATACAGGGCGTCCTTGATCTCTTCTAGGTCAGCATCGTCCCCGAGTTGTTGATATACTGCGTAGGCTCCTCCCGTGAGTCTCAGTGGGATGACTAGTGCAGGTTCCTTTATTTTGGACACCCTGCAAACACGTTCGGCTTTTTCAAACCATTCGACGATAGTCGGGCCCGTGGGGGAGCCGTCGAATTCTGGGATCAATTTTAGATCGAACTTGTCCATTGCCGAAATAGCTTGTGGTGTGTAACGCAACAATTCAACTGATGATAGCAGGTAGGCACAAAGAAAACCGGTGTCACACGTCCAACCTTCTCACGAGCTGAAAGCCCTCTGATCTGAAACAGCAAAAACGAGCCTGCTTTATACAGCTGCGGACCGACCACGATTTGCATGCGAATCACGAGGCAACGAGATTTCGCGTTAACTAACCGAGACCGCCCGGCATAAAACGTGGGCGCCGCCATTTTGGTTTTCTTTTTTACCGTTGGAAGGACCAGAGTTTGCATACTGCGCAGATTTGAACGCGTTTCCGAGGTAAGCCATTTTCACAATTTTCCCCACAATAGCCCACCTAAGAGGGGTATAAAACAAGAAAATCAAATTGTAAAGTGAAACAACAAATTTATATACATATAAATCAATTAAGGTCTCTACAATTAAAATTAATGTATTTTGGTTGATACAAGGTTGTCAAAATGTTCGTAGTAGTCCTTGCAAGAATGAGTTTAAGTGTACGTAAGCAGGAACGTATGTGTGTATGTATGCATGAGCATTATCATAGAGTAGGAATGTCTTTGAAGTAATCACTCAGTCTTAAAATGTTCTGTTTGCTTATCAAGTATAAAGAGGTGAGGGAGAAAGGTAGAGATAATAATAACGATCGCTTGACGTTTGTCAAGGGACGTGTTAATACGCTCGTCTCCTTCTCTCTGATGACAGGCGAATTTGCCCATCTTTTATTTTGTTTGTGGGGCTTGAAAAGGTAATTTGGGAATTCACTCCCGGATAGATATGATTCAGGCATTTCCATTGGATGATGAACAAACTTCTTGTTGGCTCACAAAAAGGTCCGTAAAAGAATTTGTTTCTGAGAATTGAAGATTATTTGAATTTTGTTTTTAAATGTTTCCTAGTTTTCTATTGGCCGAAAAACATTTCACATCAAGGTGTGAAATTTCACGAGTTTTGTTTTGGATTCACTTTTGCATGTGTTAAGCAAAGTTTGTAAATTCAAGTCTTTTTAATTTCTAACAAAATCAATGAGTCAGTGCTTAGCATTTGAATTTTAAATCTAGATCTTGTTTTGTTCATTATAAGTTCAATCCCTGGGCCAAATAGCACAAAAATGTTATATACCCTAGTTCAGTGAAAAAGATAAATTTGAATTATCTGATACTAGTCATCTCCCCTTGGAATGGACAGAGGAATGGGACCATTTTAATCTTGTCAACTGAATAAAGAGTTTGCTCTGAAATTCCCAGTTTACCAACTAAAAACCAACATTTGAAAAAGGCTGGAGAGTTTAGTGGCCAAAACATTGTGACTATAACAATCAAGATGTGGACATTAGTCTGGATAAATCAGTCTATAATAACAATATAAATTACTTAACTATCTTAATCTCCTTAACTGATTAATAATAAATTCAGTCATCTAAAAGTTTAACAAATTATTTCAGATTAATTGAAACATTACAAAATCAACATCAAATTTGGGACAAAAAAACAATTTTAAAGAAATAATATTGAATATAGTGACCACTTTAAAAGAAATCAGCATCCAATAAAAACATTGCCCCATTAATAAAGATTGTACAGAGGTCAATAATTATAGGTTAAATAACAGAGGAAGTCAAAGTAATTACTTACTTTTCTGAAACCCTAATGACTGGCTTACAGAGCGAACAATTTTGGATGGTGTGGAGTCACTGAACATATAAACTTCTGTTGGCAGCTTCCATTCTACATGAAAATCGGTGAAGGATACTCTATGAACCACTGTAAAAAATATCAGATGAATAACCATGTTTCTTTTGTGATTAATCAATTAGTCAATAAATAAAGGAGAATGCAAATCAACTCTTTCATTTGACATTAAAAGAAAAGAAGTCCCAATGAACTGACCTGGTTTTGAGAGTTTATTATTTCCAGAGTCTGTTAAATCAACTTGAACCATATGTCCCAAAAACTTGACTAAATGTTCCGATTCTATGTGGACAGCAGTTTCTTCATCTAATGGCTGCCATGTATCCTCATAAAACCATACACCTCGAATGACATCAGCGGTATCACCTAAAGTGAGAAAAAGACATTTATTACAGACAAAAACTTAATATACAGATATGTTAATATGTAAAGTCTCAAACACACATAAATACACAATATAATTTTTATATAGTTGTGTGTGTATATATTAACTTTTTTCCTCTCCCCAGTGTTTAATAATATTTACCTGAATGGTAGTTTAGTTTTCCCTTGCTGTTTTATTTTTAAGAGACAATGTAACTTAAATTATGTTAAAATCTACATATATAGTTAAAATTCATTAAGGAGTGGCAATTAGATAATTAATTGTCTGTACCCAAATACATGCACTTGGCTCACACATGCGCTCTTAGTACTTTTAATGTCTTTGCCTACTCAGAAATTTTATTAAATTTTTTTTTTCATTAAGAGTAGATAGGTTCACACACCTTCCCTATTTGACAATTTAGAATGGGAGAAACTTGGCATCACAAAGAAAGGGATGTGACCTGGAAGTCCGAGAATCCCAAATCTACCATAAAAAATATCAACCAAGACAACTATTTAAATGATTTAACCTTATTTTAAAATGAATTGGTAGAAAAAAGAAAAAATAAGAAGTATTTTGTATGCTGTCAAACAGATTTTGGCAAAAAAAGATGAGTGTCAAAAAGATAATTTCTCTCTTGATATCACTTTTACTGTATACTCCTTTGGCAATTTTTATTCTTTTAAAAAGTTATTTTTAGAATTTGAATAAAATCCAAACATACCTTCTCTTTTTTCTTGAGAATTGACAACAAAAGAATTAAACTCTATTTTATTAGATTGTTTATTTACAAGAATAATTTTATATTTACAAATTTATAAAAGTATATGTACCAATTTACAATGCCATATTTATTATTTACCATATTATAAAGCAATAACTATGAAAACAAATTATTTTATTCATAGATTTATAAAAAATGCCAGTGAACAAGAAAATTCAAATAAACACATAACTATGAGTAACTGTAATGATAAATTGCGAAAAAAAAATACATGTTCCAGGCATTTCATTCATTTACTCTCAACATGTAAATTCATTAAAATAGGTTGCAAGAATCTGAATTTTCTACCTTTTTTTCTTAAGAATTTAAAGCAAAAATGTTAAACACTATTAGACTGTTTATTTACAAGAATAATGTTTAATACTGTTCTTGAGAAAAAAGATAATGCATAAATCGAGTTTCATGTTTGGGTTTTATTGGAATTCTAAAAATAGTTTTTAAAAACAAAAATTGCTGAGAGAATATACAGTAGCAGTCAAGAGAAAAAGCAACCTTTTTGCAATTATGCATATTAAACTTTGCCTAGATTTTAATATTGGGTCAGAAATAAATGCCATCAAATCTTGCATCAATAAGTTTTGTTATTTGTAATATGAAGCTCCTTAAGATTTTTTTCATCTTTAACCTTTTTGTTGGCATTTTTATAAGGAATTATTATTATGTGCTGTGCAATTTGGTTAAGTATTCTCATCTTGTTTGCTATATTCTCATTTCTATTGTTGTACCCTCTGACCTTCTTCAGGTGACTCCTATTGTACTTAGTAATATTTTTAGAAGTTTGAACTGAACCCTTTATTCAATTGATGGGGGGGATATTGTTCTCATACTGCTTTCCATGCTTAGGGGAGATAACACATATCAGTCAATATCTCACCAATCTTATTCACCTTTGTGTCATTTATCAGTTTCTTTCCTGTCTTAATTATAGCGTAAATGTTATAAAATCACTACAAAAATAGCCATTTTGTTTCAACACTTCTGGTATCTTATCAAGTGATGGTGTTGAATGTAGAATAAAGGGTTTTAAAAGGTTCAAATTGACCAAACACCCCTCGCGAGAGGAAACGCTGTTACATAAGCTGGAATGACCAATCAAAATACAAGTATATGAGAATTCAAAAAACTTGACAATGAACCTTGGATATAATAGTTAATGCCTTGATGCTAGGGTTAGGCTAAAATAGAAATCATTCTAATTTATATTAAATTTTACTATTAAATTGAAAATTAAAAATTACCAATTCTAAATTTTAAATTTAATCTGTATTAAGTTCAAAATATAAAATTATTTAAAGAAGAAACTGAGGAAAAAATTGTAAGTGATCTGGGATTACAAAGGAAATGTTTGTTGCAGACTATTTACACGTCACAGAGACAAAATCATTAAGTTCAGACTCAAACATTGGGGGCAGAAAGAAATGCTGAAAGCTCGATTCGCAGGTACTATCTCACGAATCACAATGCATGCAACCAGCCAGAAAAATAACTCATTCTCCAACAACCACGGTAGCCAAAATACCTGAATTTCCTCCCTGATTCAAGAACACCAACTGCTTTTATCAGCCAAACATTTTTTCCATTCGTTGACAGCTGGGAGAGGATGTTCAGTAATTTGCATATCAACATACTTTTATAGCAACTCCTGCGACGGACTTGTTTTTTAATTCAAATATTCCATTTTCAGCATGTCATGCGGAATATGTGCCCTTTTGTTTGGTAAGTAATTTTCTTTTTCACCACATTTTCCGTCGTAGAATACACACAATGCACTGTCGCTGGGTTTGACGAGATTAGTCGCTGTTTTCTTCGCTATACTCCCCCCCCTGATCTCACTATCACAAATCGAACAGCCTGGAGCAGCTCTCTTTATCCTGGTGCTTCGTCGTAATGGCACTATTTCCCTTATGCGTGTCGGAGAGTTGTCTCCTGAAGAGTCATCAGACGTATATCGAGTTTCCGGAAGTTCTGTGTCTGTAGAAGCATCGGATTCGCAGATCTCAATTATCCGCTCACTGTCCGACAATGAATCATCATTGGATTCACTCAGCGATGTATCAGAATCAACGAAAAAGGCGAAGATCTTTTACATGCTGTGGCATCCTGTCAAATAATATGGTTTGTGGACTTACAATGTTCGTCACGTGACCCACTTGATACTTGGAGGTACACCGGCCATGGGGAGCTTTCACCCATACTCTGTTCCCAGCTTTGTATATATCGTGATACTTACAACGATCAGGTGGTAATGTTGTAGTAATTCCCTTTACTTTCAGTTGGTAATGGTGAATCATATTGTCAGGCGCATTAGTCGACGATATATCATCCTTCGGCGTGATATTATGCCAGTATACTGCCTCCATTATCGAACACTGCTTTCTTGCTGCAATTCGCTTTATGCTCCGATGAGATCTTTCCACTATACTGCTTCCTGCAGGAACATAGGTGCAGCAAAAACAAAGTTGGACTCCCCAATCATCCAAGAAATCTTTAAAGGACTTACTGCGAAATGCAGTGTCATTGTCGGTCAGAATTTCTGATGGTGGGCCTCATTCAAAAAAAATACTTTCTAACTGCCAAATGAGGCTTCTTGAGTCTTGTTGAAGCAGGCGTCACCATATCGCAAATCTACTAGGGCGGCAATCAATTAACGTAAGTTAGTGTTGCCCATCGTAATGTGTAATGTCCATTCCTAAGCGGGTCCAGATTTCAGTCACACTTAGGTTGCCACGAGGCCAACGACTTGAGTCCAGGTCAATTGACTGGCATTCTTTACATTTTCTGACCACTGCCTTGATGGCCGCCTTGGATGTCGTAAGGTAGACTTATCTCACAAAATATAGCGTCCACCTAACGCCAGGATATCCATTCTGGCAATGTATGGCACGTATCTGATCAGGAGAGATTTCGTTCACCATGGAAGCTCATATCGGGCGTGTTGGTTCGGTTTCCTTCTTTATCATATCATACCATCGTTGCGGTACTCTGGTGAGCTTATCCGCTCGATTCTCACTCCACGTTACTAAACTTATTGTGATCAATAAGTTATTCTCTTGAATCTGCTTTTCAAGAGTACTCAAACGCCTCCGGATCAGCATCTCACTTGCCACCTTAGTTCATATTCTGGCTTTGCCAGTTAGCATGTTTGATACCCACCAGTACACACACGTGGAGTCTGTGAAGAGGTGTAGCTCCGTTGCACCCCACTGTAATGCTAAATTGATGCCCTTCAGAATAGCATCCAGTTCTGATAAATTGATATGTTGGGCATCCTTCACAGGTTGCAGCCAACATGTGTCTTCTACAATGCTTCCGTCAACCTTTAACGAAACCCCTGTGGCGAGAGAACTTGCATCGACCCATACCTCATAAGCGTGTCCGCTTGTGCACCACTTACCATGTGCAGGGTCATTCTGGCGTATTCTTTCTGCTATGTCCTCAATCATGTTCTTAAGGGAAGCAGCTGTCACTTCGTCATCCCAACCAGACGTGATCGATACTGTCCTGCATTTTACAAATGATGCAGCAACGCGAAGCCACCCACACACAGGAACATTACCCACCAGTTTTCCACACCACGAGAAGACGTTACATCGTGTCAGGACCTCAGGAACTGATGGAATGCCATTTTCACGTGTCCATTTAAGCCTGTTATCTTCCGCGACATGCAAACCCAGCACACATGTGCCATCCCATAACCACTCCAGATCCTTGCAGGTCAAAGCAAACGCAGCCAAGTGCTCTTTCACACGAGCTGCTGAAATCATGCTCTCGTCAACATAAATGTCATCAATATATGATGAGGTTGCCCGTCGAATGTACTCGTCTTTCGCCAACGCGGCGTCCACAATGGTCTTCATTATGGCTGGTGCAACATTTAACCCACAACCCATTTGGGTCAAGCAATATCTTCACCCCTTGAAGATTACAGTTTGAAAGGGCCAAAGTGACTTTTGGATATGTACTTGTAAATAGGCCTGCCGTAGGTGAAGGATAGCGACATCCAGTCCTTTTTTACACCACTCCCTCAGTTTCTGTGCGCACACATCAGCATTGGCTCTATGTGCATCGAGACACTCATTCAGCTCTCGATAGTCTAATACTGGCTGCACTTTATTTTTGTTTTTCTGCACCACTGCCATCAACGGAATTAAACCTTTTGGAGGACCGAGTTCCTTTTCAGGATAAGGCTGCAAACAACCATTATCAAGCCAGGTC